TCTTTCAAACATTCTGGCTAAAGAAAGATAATCACAAGCCATAGTTGTTTTTTTTAATATCCTTATTGATGCATTATAGTTGTATATAATAGTGGAATTTGTTGTTGCATATCCACACATGCACACAATATAACTGTAAATTTTGGTCAATATCACTTATCAGTATTTTCCTTTTCCCTCTCCTCCTCCCTCCCTGCAAGTTCCTGTCCTCTACTCTACTGATCTCCTTTCCATTTTCATGAGACCCCCTTCCCCCATCTTTCTTTTTCTTTTTCCTCTCTAATTTCTCTATATGAGAGAAAACATGAACCTTGGCCGTCTGAGTTTGGTTTATTTATCTTAATATAATAGTCTCAAGTTCCATCCATTTTTCTGCAAATGGCATAATTTCATTTTTCTTTATGGCAAAAAAAAACTCCATTGTGTATATATACTACATATATCTATTCATCCATTGATGGACTGTTAGGCTGTTTCCATAGTTTGATTGTCGTGAATTGTGCTGCTATGAATATGGTTTTAAAAGTTCATTTTTATATTGGTAATTTAATTGAGTGGTGTGGGATTCTGTCAAAATGGCTAGAAAATGTATTACTGATAAGTGGGAGGGAATAGAAGAAATAGGAAAGTCCCCGAGACATCATCTTCAAGGTCATCTTTGGCAGTAAAAGCAAAGGCAGCAAACTTGGTGTATTTGATAATGAGAAAGCAGCTGTGGGTAGGTCACCTCTTAATCTCCAGTATCTGTCAACAGTAATGTTTACAATAGTTGTTGAAGAACGATAAGAAAGAAAGGAAGGAAGACTAGGAATGAGAAAGAGCAGGAGAAAAAAGAACCAGCAAAGGAATCCTTTCTTCGGTTTTCCTCTTCCATTCTTATTATGGTTGTGCATTATTTCTCATAATGGTCCCCCAAAACTCTGTTATCCTAATAATAGTTTTTTTTAATATTTATTTTTTAGTTATAGGTGTACTATAAGTGGTGCTGAGGATCGAACCCAGTGTCTCACGCATGCTAGGGGAGCACTCTACCACTGAGCCACAATCCCAGCCCTTCTGAGCCACAATCCCAGCCCCATAACAGTTTAATTTTCTAAAAAAAAAAAAAAAAATCTTGCAAACATAAATATCATTAGTCTTGTTTTGCAATGCAAAAACTAGGCTCAACAAAATATTGACTTTCTTCACTTTTCTTAGATATCTCTAATCCAGTGCCCAACATGCTTACTCTTTGCCCATCAGTAAAGAGATTTGATGAGTGGAATCAATCTCCTGGCCATATAATCACTTAAGCAATTTATATTGGTTATTGCTGCTGTTCTTTGCAGCAGGGACAATGGATTTACATTTTAAGAAATGAGTGATGAAAAATATATAACTTATGTGAAGACATTTAACTAATGTTAATTCAAACTAGAACAAACTAAACATTATACAGCAGTAGATATGTTATTTCAAGTGTGCAAGTTGAGAATAGAAGGTTTTTGTAACCATTAGATAATTGCTTGAGCACAGAATTGTAATAGCTTAATTCTGTTATTGTAAGTTAGATACATTATCTATTCTCAAGAAGGTTGCTGAATAAGAAGTTTCCACAACACATTTCTCCTTTCTCCAGCAGATTTACTAGTTTGTACAGGAAAGACATAGTAAAATTATATACATTTTTTCCATTTAAAAACTCAATAACTTAAAAAACTTTTTTGATCATATCATCATTCCAAATAATGTTTTGAGACTTTCTGAAATGCATATTTAWTTTTTTTCCATGTTTTCCCTGTTCTCAATCAGTCTATGAAAATAACTATATAAGCCAGCCAGATAAATCTTGCACTTCTCAAAAAAGGTGGTCATTAGTGAATTTTCTATTTCAAATTAAGATATCAGAAATCTATCTGGACAATCAATGGTACTGTCATTTATATGTTTGTTCATTAAAAAATATTTGTACATTTAGAACCTCCACATATAAAACATGAAGTTGTAAAAGTTATAAAATATAGAGCAAATTATTCCCATCATTATCTTACATTTGTCTTTATTACTAACTAGCTCTCTTAGTACATTTATGATATAAAAATTACTGCTCCATTTTGGAGATATATTTTCTTCATTAAGTTCATTATAGACAGGCAGTTTTCCCCCAAGTTGACTCTTCTAAGTTATGACTTAATTAAAATGAAATGAAAGCTTACAAATTTGCAGTTTGAAGTATATTTAATTTCTTAAATGATTATATTTCAAATATACTGGCATTTATTTTAAAACCATTGATTTGTATCTGATCTACACACCTTTTACAATGCATTTATCATTCTATAAAAAATAAAGAAAGCAGAATTTTAAGCCTCTGAAGTTCTCAGCCACTGTTAAACAAGGATTTTGAAAGAAAAAAAGATGGAATTGATTGCATTTCTCCATCTCATTTAGGAAGAATACTACTTAAATTTGTTCCTAATGCAAGGTTGAAATTAATCTTGATTTCCCATCAAATGTATAGGGATTTTATATTACAGTGCATAATAGTATGTAATTCCTCTTGTGTATAAGTTAAGATAAACAAGTCACTGACAGTGTTTATCTATAAATATAGCAGATGGTGTGGGACTGAGGTTGGTAATCAACTCTGCTGACTTTAATTTCATGGTTATAAAACACTGTAAACCTCACTATTTATGAAAGGTAGGCAAGAATCTCCAATGGGCTTCAGTAGCCAAGAAACCCTCAGCAATATTAATCTCTCTAACTGATATTTGGTATCCTCCCAGGGTGTAATATTTAAGATTGTGGGGCGATTGCTAGACACATTCAGATTTTCACTGGGATCATTAGCTAGCATTTCTGTCATTGATCTATTATGACTTTGTTAATGAGTTCCATGTGAGTGAAATTTAGTGAATGAGACAATTCTTCCTAATGTTTGCTAGGTGAATGGTTAACAGTTACTTTAAGAAGTTATATATCTAAACAATGGCCTAATTTGTCAAAAAGAATGCTTTTTTTCTGACRTTAAGGTAAGTCAAATTATGATACTACTCAGACCAAATGTACTTAGGGATAGAATTTCATAAACATCATAATATTGTTTGAATAGTCAATATATTTTATATATACATATATATCTACATATATGCCATGTATCTGCCTAAAACTTTACAAAAATCATATAATTTATAAAGAAATAAAAATATTTATTCATCATATTTTCAATTGATATAAATATAATATTTTAAATATATTTTATTCTAATCATTCATTTCACTAAAAATCTATATGTTCAACTTAATTAAATTCTTACAAAAAAGAACATTATTATAAAAAAATATTATTTGAATTGCTCAGTTTTTCCATCCAACCTTATAGTGAATAATAAAATTTGTCTTGTAAACATAGGTGTATTAAAAAAAATCTAAAATCATACCCCTAATACATCTACATTTTGAAAAGTTTGATTTTTCAGTTTTCAAGAAATTTTGTAAGTATGATGAGCTAATATGCAACTTGAAGCCTAAAAATTTTTGAGCTGAACATTTCTTAATTGTATCAAAATTTTAAATCCAAAGCCTGTGTGTGTGTGTATGTGTGTGTGTGTGTGTGTGTGTGTGTGTGTGTGTATATATATATATATATACACACAAAGAGAGAGAGAGCGCCTGCTGAGCTACCTCCGCAGCCCAAGAATGAGCTTTCTAAGAACCAATCAGTACTTTTCTAGTTCTTGTATTGCTTCTCCCCCACCCACTCTGGAAATTTTATACTGAAATTCCAACCTATCTATTAACTGATTATTCCTAACATAGAGCTCAACCTCTGGGTTTCATGGGATTCTGAACAGCAGCAGTCGAGGGGAGAGAGAATTGGGTGGAAACTTTGATAATATTTTTTCTCATCTCCGTCCCTACTCAGAACCTTTGTCACTAGTTTTCATTGGATGTAAGACCTCACGATTTAACTCATTTCTGTAAACAACTGTCTACTCCTATTTCCAGGTCCTATATAACGTCTAGAACAGAGAACATCAAAGCCTCTCTAAATTGGAGGTTTCCCCTCACTATCCTTTCCTTTTCTTTCTATTCTCTTTTTTATTCCTAAATGCCTCCAATTGAACTGAATWATCATCATTGAAGAAATTGATTATTGGGCTATTGGTTATATTCTATATTTGTATGTATGTTGTGTTGAGTCAAAAGTTGGGGTGATTTTTTTTAAGTGATCAAAAAAAACAGCTAAAATATATCCATTCATTTTTAAGATGATATATTCTTGTCTTTAAAGAGAAAAAAAAAAGAAAAAGAACATATCCCACAGAGAATGATTTCTTTTTAAAACCTGGCTCCTAGGAAGCATGCTCTCTAGAGTTGTAAGCTTACTAGAAAACAGTGGGGGCATATTTCACAGGGACTAGGAAAAGGCCCTAAGAAGACTGGGTCCTCAGAGTGACTTAAAGTATCCTCTTAGGGTGTCTCAACATTGGACTGAAGGTCTCACTGGCCAGAGTGGGGTGTGGTGTAAGCCTGGGTCAAAGGGAGACAGAACATCATAGACAAACAAAGCCAGGTATTATAGTGTCTGAGCAGAGGAGCAAGTGGGCATTTAGTTTAAGGACTCTCCTTTATGGGTACTCATTTGTGGATCTTAGGGAAATAAGACATTCTTAAAAGCACATTAAAACAATCACTCTTATAAAGAAGAAATCTTTCTCAATATCCCAATGGATAGCATTAAGTTATTGTCTTGGGTACAATGAGTAATAAAATATAATCATTTTTTAAACTAATCTTGTTTTGAAGAAGTTTCTATAAAGAAATTATCTGACTAAAAGGAGGAGGAAACAAACTTAAAAGTTAAGATGTTCCTGATTACATGCAAATTATCAAATTTATTAAAATTCATTGAAATAAATTGTTGCCTTTTAATTTTAATATTAAGCAAATTACAGTCAAGGGGACAAATACACCATATTTAAAAACTTGAATCTCATTTTTGTCATTTTCTTTCAGATTACCCAATGCTGTCTAATTTCAAGGGCATTGCATTGTATAAAAGAAAACATGCCAAGGAAATTACTCTAACTGGATTTCATTCCTCCTTCAATGGTCAGTTTAAAAAAAATATGTCCCCTATAATACTTTATTATTTATCCCCTGTAAAACTCCAGTGATCTTTAAAGTCTTTTATTCCTAGGGCAAGTCATCTATGCTGTGATGTGCATGACAGTCACCTGTGGAATCCTTCTCTTGGTTATGCTCAAGTTGAGGTAACTGAACATAACTCAGAAGGGAAGGGCTGGAGGGAATCATTTAGCACATTTCACAATGGATGAGCTTACGCAGGCCCTGAGAATGAAAGCTTCTCTGTTAAGATATGCTAAATCAACTTTTATGTGGGATAGGTCCATGGAAACATTACTCATGGTCTTCAAATGTAAGGGAAATGTGATCATTGGGGATTTTCTTACTCTGCATTTTACAAGCACATATGCATTGCATGTTGCTTCCAATTAAACTGTTATCAGTATTTCCTCTTGGTTTTTGTGCAAAATACAAATGAAATTTTGTTATATTTTTATTCAAATTATATGTAGAATTGGTGAACTCAAATAACTAATCTATTGTATATCTCAAAAAGTTTTTATTTACCTAAGATGATGAGGCCTCACAGCATACCCATAGAAAGACATAGTCATTACCTAACATTAATTGATTCTTTCAAAATCATTTTCCTTGAGAACATTCATGACTAGAGTATTGTAATGCTCCATCAAGTATGTGAGACTTTTAAAACTAGAGACTCAATCAAACTCTAGACTTCTGAATTTAAGGGATTTAAAACATTTAACTTATTTATTTTTGCAAATAGATACAAGATGATATGCACTAGTTTACCTTCCATTAAAATATAACTTCATAYTTAAATATCAATCATTTTCATTTGCTTTTACTTTATGCATGTGTATATGTATAATTTGAGTATCATAAATGTTAATGAAACAGAGAGTGCATTTACATACATCTGTAAATATACTTATATACACATAAACTATATCAGTAAGATTGGGCATAGACAGGAAACAAACTATTGGCTATTTCTCTTATATCTTGACATCTGACATCCACACAGACTGGCTCAGTCACCTGCACAATGCACATACACATATTGCTCCTCAGAAACAACCTGAGAAATCCCAGATGAACAGGCCTTGACAACCAGGAAAAGACAAGGGAAGACAGAAGTGGGGGAGTGTGTAACAATAGCAGAGGGTGAAGTACAGAAGAGTATATGTTCTGCTGAAAGACATTTCAATTTATTTATTTTTAAATGCAATGCAGCTAAAGAAAGTATATCTACTTATTGGATTCAATCCTGCTAAGTGTTTAATATGTTGTTTACCAAAAGCAGTACCAAATAATCTGCTTTTTTCCAATACCTTAAAAGTTTTATTTCTATGAGAAGCTATTACATGGGTTCTAACATACAGTTTAAAGGCCAAGTAATTACAGCCTATTTCTAAGGGAGAAAAGTACCATTTGGAATTTATTACACTTTATTTGGTTTGAAATATTTGAGAGCATTGCTCAGCTACTCTACTTGCTTAGACATTCAATGACAAATCTATTGTTTCAGAGAAACAGTTTTCTGTCCCAACAAAACTCCTGTGTTAAGGGTTCACTGATCTTTAGTTCTTAGCCACATACGTAATGTAAAAAGTTCACCCCAGCCACAAGGGCCTGTGAGTTTTTACTGATAATATTGTACCACAGATAAACCATATGTAAGCTATACATAATTCCCGATGAATCACCTGCGACTTCACTTCTTTATCTGYCTGCATAGGAAGGCCTATCCCTGGCAGGTCCAATGGYACMTACTTGTAATCCCAAAGATTTGAAAGGTTGAGGCAAGAGWATCACAAGTTTGAGGCTGATTTGGGCAACTTAGTGAGACCCTGTCTCAAAGTCAARTAAAAAGGAGACTTGGGATGTAGCTCAGTGGTATAAACAGGAGGGAAAAAAATTTTAAAACAAGAAAGAGAAGAAGAAGAAAAAAATGACAATATGGATACTACAGTTAAATATATGATAGTCAGAAACACATTAGAATATTTTGTAACTAGGACTTTACATTTGGAAACTTATTTTTCCCCATTTTAGGCACAGACTTCAACCAAAACAAGTATATTTGTAAAATACTCATACTAGCATACTATTAACTTTTGYTTTTGCTTTTACATAGACTCTCCAGAATATCAAGTCAAACAAGAGATTCTCCACCAATCCAAATACCTGGAGGAGTCATCATTCATTGAGTCACAGATCATTAACAGCCACTTTCTTTAAAGCAAGTCTCTGTAGCCAGTCAATGGAATGCTACAACCATCATTAATAAGGAAAATATTCAGATGAATTTAATGTTTTAATTATAAAATGTGAGGTATATGACATGAGGATCACAGATTTATTTTTTTCTTAAGAAAATACTCTAGTAAATGCACTAGTAGAGAATTAAAGTTTCCCTTGAAGACAAAAGATGTTAATCAAAATTTCATTTTGTTTTTATGATGAATATAAGTGCACATAAAATTAACTAACTACATTAAAATATGAGATTATAGTTAACAGGTTGTTTTATCTGATCAGTTTTATTGGTTTCTATTAGCTTGACAAAATGGAAATGTTAATAAGAATACCCAACACATCTGTGAGCTACATAGTCTTACCTATTTTCAAATCATTACTTAGATCATTAGCATTAACTTTAATTGCCTAAATATGTTTGGTTAGATGAGGAGTCTTAAAAGTTAAAATGATATCTTGGAATTTTTGTTATTTGAATATTTTTGAATTTTATTTTTTTAAATTTGATGTCTTTATAGCCATAAAAATGTAAAACAACTACATTAGATAACAAAAGTCAATGTGTATTTCAATAATGATGTATTTTGATTGTGAATTTATTTTTCAAGTTAACTTTTATGAACTTCTGCAATAATAAAGTAATACTTTAATTTCTACTTTCTGTATTGCTTCTATACTGCTACTTTTGACTTGGTTTAAAATCAGGATATAATTGTGACCAGTAAATTATGGAAAAGATGTTTATTAGTTCAATTTTTTATACATATGTGTACTTCAATTGTCTGCAATCATATCAGTACCCCTCATCCAGAATACCAGTGAAATTGTATTATTTACAGTGGCAAAAAGGAAAAAGTATTTAATAACTTGAAGATACTACCATACTAATATTAGAGACATATTTATAATTAAAAGTCAAATATTTTCTGCTTATTTGATCTCAATTCTATTAAYATTCCCTACATTCCAGATTAAATTAAATTTAAACTTAATATTTGGCCCTGAATATTCAAAGTAATTGAAAACCTTTTACCCTTAAAACAGAGAAGAAAAATTTGGTGAGTCATAGATGCCCCCCAAGGACTTCTRTACATTACAGTGGGTGCATGTTGCATAGAGAGTTAATGTGATGAGAATGTAAGGATTTTCATCTCTAAAATACTGCTATTTAGTTTAGACTTGCTAATGTCTGGGAAAGTGTGAATTTTCTCTGGAAAATAGAAGAAATAAGTCAAGTTGTCTTAAGAAATACTTTGTGTTGAGTTGTGAAGGCCAGGACAGAGTGTGAAATAGAGGCCCTCCCCCCAAAAAAGAGAGTCTTGTCTCTTTGGCCAACAAGAATAAGAGGGTAGAACTACAGAAGGAAGAGTCAGCATGGAGCATTTAGGGAGCTTAAATAGTCCCCTGTCTTCAGAGCAGGGGGTACAAATTGACATAATGCAGGACATAAAACTTTTTTCATCCATCAGGACTGAAACACAAAGGGTCCTTAAACACCAAGATAAAGAGTCACCACAGCTAAAGTGTGGCTGGTGGCTCTTTCAGGACTTGGCCCCCATTTTTACTCTCACCATCTACTCATCTGCCCTCTGGGAAGCCTTTCTTAACATGCCCTTCTCTGCATCTGCTAGGCATCCTTGCTGGTTCTTCTGCACCATGTGCTCCCCATTCCTAGGCTTCCACACCTCCCTGTAATTGCTTCTTCATTCTATTCATTAGCCTCCTATCACTGCTAACTTTTTTCTTTATATCACTCTATCACTTCGGCCTCGTCATTTCTTTGTGGCATTTATCACTTTCAGAAATGACCTTGTTTACTTTATTTTTCAAATCTGCAACATATTTGTTAAGAACTGTACCACCAGTACTTAATATCCTGGCTAAGACGTAATATATTATTAATAGCACATAGTATATTTATATAGTATATGTTCAACCTATAAGTGTTGAGCAAATTAATTAATTCAGGCGTTCAAGACTTTTTAGCTAAACATTGCAGTACATTTTAAGCAGACTTACTGTTAAAGTAGCCCTCTGTATACAATTATTTATATTTTTTGCTAGTAAACTTTTTTTTCATTGAGAAATCTGATAAACTCACTGTCTTATGTAAAACGATTYTGTACCATGTTGTAGCCTTCTAAGTGAAGCAATTCATTTACTAACAATTACTTATTGGCCATACACTATGTGTTAAGGAATAGAAAGCAGAGATGAAACAACAGATCCAGGCAACTGCTCAGAATTTACTCAGAAAGGCAACAATGAAGAATATTTCATACACTGAATAGATGGGGACTTGAAATCAGATCTTTGCAAGGAGTTGAGGTTGTAAGGATCATGTTAAGAATTTCCATTAAGAGTAGATTTTACTGGGTGTYTTTAGGTAAACCATGGTGTCATTTAGAGAACTGGTTCATTTAGRTAGGGATAAGATTGGAATGGAAAATAGCAGTATGCCAGTTATTTTTAGATCTGTTCCCATCCTTCTCTACCTCTTAAATATCTTCAGGACTTATATACAATACATAATTGTTTTTGATCCACAACTTCCAGTTGGATTCAGCCAATGGTGGAAATGGCAGATAGGAAAGTGTTTCTGTGGATACCTCCTTCGGGTCTCATTCTGGGTTGTTTTTTTTCCTTTAACTGTTTCCATTAGTGTGGCCTTTTCTACATCTCCTTCTGGATTTCTGTACAAGTTTCCTCTCCTTTTCCTTTCAGACTTGGTGGTACTAATAGCTCAGTTGTTACTAGTACTAGATGGTGTAGTTTCTGTACTACACATTTGGGTTTTCTACAACCACACACATCTGTAGAAAGATTCTGTAAATCAAAGATTCCTAAGAGTCATACACTTTAGATAAATGGGAGTTGGTCCTAATTTGAGAATGCCATCTGTTTCTATAGGTTCTCTGACTGATAATTCTGGTAATTATATCAGGTTTGGACCAATTGATTTTCTAACACCAGAAGGACTTCCATGTGGAGTTACCTAGTAGTCAACTTGAAACTATGCTGAGACTTGAATTAGAGCCTTTAAATTTCAAGTTTTCTAATGTCTTCCTTACATCTCGCTCATTCCAGATGAGAAAGCCAATTTACACCAAAGACTTGCTTGTGATCTTTTGAAAAACCATTGTGAGGAATGGTGGCCAGATCACCAGATGGCAGAGATAAAGACCTCTCCCTAAAAGAATTTGGTCATTGATCAAATTCCTTTCTGGGTTGTCTGAATATTCTAGTAATAAACTTTTGTACCTCCTGTTTCTTTTGCATATTTACCCAGAGCCTGCTTTTTCCCACAGAATTCCTTCCATAAACTTCCTCAGGCATTCCTGAGAGCTGGGAGTCAACAGAACAGCACCAGCTGAAACTCAGCGAGCTGAATCAGAATCCTCTCTCAGGAAGGATGTAAGGGCAGAAGGAAAACAGGAACTCATACCTGGGGCTCACTTCTGTTCCTACTTTTGAATTCCCTATGAGATTCCTGAGAAACAGATTTGGGAGTTATTAAAACATGTATCCTATTCATCGTKATAGACAGTGAAATGAACACAAATAAAGAGCAAGTAGATTTCCTCTATTTTTAAGAATACTCACAATGGTGAGCTCAACAAATCCAAGAATAAGATCTAAGGGACCAGCAGTCAAAACAATGGCATGGCCCCATAGTACAAGATTAGCATGCATCCTCGGTGCACTGACACTGCTATTTTTGCACATCCTTGCCTGCCAGGTTTGCTCCTCCACACTTTGCTGTCTTCAGAGCTTTGAGATGAATACCTTCTGGGCTAAAATGATTTATTGTACTAGAGTTTCTCAAGTTGTTCCTCTTTGAGGCTTCAGTGTCTACTCAGACCACACTGACTGCACCCTGAAACTTCAGGCAGTAAAATGAGGGTCTCCAAAGCATTCACAGAGAAATCACKTACAAGAAGTGTATCTTTAATCAGAAGTCATACTATTTACAGTTGTTTATAGTCTTCTATAAAAAGTAGAAAATGTGTGTTTAAAACAGAGGTCTAAAGTTCTAGCTAGGTAAGATTGTCAGATTTAAATATGATAGCAAAGTCAGGAAACTTCATAATGTCATGGAATTTTTCCATCCAGTGTATATTATTATGTTAAAAGGCCTGTGAAGTATAATATATAACAATTTTGAGTGTAATGGATTATTTGATATTTGCATCTATAAGAGAAGTAAGAGACATAATTTGATAAAATATTTTCTAAATATTTTATGAAAATATATTTTTGTATAGACAATTATGAAATATATAACTTATGTCAGAAAACTCTGATGAAATCTTGAAATATTATAATGATAATTCTGTGTTGAATTTCACTGATAAAACTTTTTATAAATATTTTGTCTATCTTAAAACATAACTATAAATAGAAAACATTCATCTTTCAAGTAAAGTCTTCAGTTGTAAGCTGAAAAAGCTTTTGATATATGTATATAGTACTAATTAAGCATAATTTTTGATTCACAGTTTAATATACTTTGACATAAAATTACATGTTATTTTCTATGAGAAGACACTCTTAAAAGGAGCTAGGAAGATGTATTTCCTTGATTATGAAATTTCTGTATGTTACTTTCCATAAAATAATAGTATACAACAGAAAGAATCTATATATATTTAAGTGGAAAGAATTCAAAACAGAATTATCATTATAATACTTCAAGATTTCATTGGAATTTTCTGACATGAGTTATTTTCCATAACTGTCTTTAAAATATATTTTCCTAATATCAATATATTTATATTTTCAGTGAATGTTTTATTGTGTTTGTTACAATTCTTTTAATACTTTGAAACAAAGGAATTCTTTTCAAAAGTTCTTATTTCATGAATATTGAAGATAATATGACTAATACTGGAGGGTGTATAATAGCAATGTAACAAAAATTTCTGTTTGTTCTCAGGTGAAGTGAGAATTC